TGGCATATTGGTACTGTTGCTTTAAAATTCTGCAATAGTTTTTCCAACTTAAATGTGGATGCAGTTAGGAATGTACATTACAGGAGATTATCTGCCTTTGACTGCCTCAATTTTCTTATACTTCAATTTACATGTTGATTCCATATGAAAGTTGTGCCTAATTGTTGGAAAAACACGGTATAAAGTCACACTCGAGACATTTTGCACTAGAGGTCGACTGCAATACAATTTCAGAGGTGTTTTAGTCTGGACAATGATTTGCAGTGTACATGCAGGAGGTGCAAATCAATTTGGCTCCTGCTCAAAAATGGTGCCTTAAAACAACAATTTAAGGGATTGTTTTACATATTATTAAAGGGCCAGTCACATACCAGATTTGTCATTTGACACACAGGTTAATGACACTCTGCATATGTGCTTTGCTGCTAATGTTCAGAGCTCCCCAGAGGTATTCACCTTCCACCCCCTCTCTTGACCAATGTGATTTTGGTGCAGCAAACATAAATCAGGCCTCCCTCTCTGAATTGCTCTAATGAGTCGCTTCCAGCAATATACAGAGGAGATTAAGAGTGTGGATGCAGGGAGTAAAGAATGTATCCTTCAAAGCTTAAAGCCCTCACGTAGTTTTCTTATACAGACTAAGAGATCATAAAGTCGATGAGAAAAGACTCCTGAGATGTAGCACCTTAGCAACTGAGACCACATCACAAAGCCAACGAGCAAAAGAAAGAAAAAATAGTCTGGTGAACTCAGGCAAAACACAGCCAGCAGAGAAAGAGAATGCAAGATTAAAAGAAAAGTGTTCCATTAGAATCAGGTCTGACAATGACTCTTATGACCTGCTTTCATTTGCTGCTTTTGAGAATCACCATTCAAACCACAGTGAGAAAAGACCATTGAGATTGGAAATCCAACCTGGAGCCATTGATCTGAAAAACTTGACTACAAAACATTCCACACTTGATTATATGGGTCAGCAAATGTATAATACTTTTCATGCATCACTCAGATAATGACAACACACATCCTTTATTCCATGATCAGCTTGAGCAGCTAAGGTGTCAAACCAAGGCTTAGCATACAATACTAATGTAATTCAAGCAAATCCCCTGGAAGACCAAGTTGATGCCGGAATTTACGGCACTTAAATGACATTCCACAAGTGACCATGGGTGGCTTTAGCAACAAAAATGTTCTGATCGGCTTTGGGACCAAGCATTGTTCTGAACGCAGTATGGGGAAAGGTTTCACGTCCACGGCTAGTCTTTAGTTAGTGACTGGAAATGACATTGTACCTTAACAGATTGGATGCGTTAATGAACACAACTCTGTCTCCAGGTAGTACTACAAAAAGTCTGAGATAGACTTTAGATGCAGTTATTAAAACAAGCACCACAGATGTTTTCAGAAAATATAGCATCAAAACATGCATTTTATTGTGTGAAAGACAAGCCAACTGCACCTGAATGGAGTGACTTATTCCTATGTGGCAGCAAACTGACAATTTCAAAGAGGTTATACTTGCTGCACCATTGCCCCAGCCCATAAAGGATCCCAAGATGTAGTTAAATCCAGGTAATTATGGTTCCTCAATGCTGACAGCTATGTAAAAGTTAGAAGTATCTCCCCTGCCAACCTCTAATGATTGACTATTGCAAACCAGAACTACAGGAGATAGAACTACAACTGACTATCAATTTCTGTGGCCTCACTATTAGTGGATACTTTCCAATCGATGAATAGTTGAGCTTTCCAGAACTTAAGACACAGACAACAGTCTCAGCTACTCCTGTCATGAAAGAACTCCATAAAATCCTTTGGTCAGCGCAAGTCATTCCAATGATCGATAAAAGTGCTAACGGCTCACCTTGCAATGGGCACCTGCTTGCCTTGTTTGCTGACTGCTCTGTTTCGAGGATAGTAAGATAATTCAGCATTGGTCGCAGGCAATGGCAAAGTCAAGAAAGGAAACACGGAATAATAGTTTGGGCTACACCAAGACAAGCAGGACAAGAAGGAATGGGTTCAGGGTGCTGAAGGGCAATTTTACAACAACAACAAATTGCATTTATATAGTGCCTTTCATATCGGGACTTCATCCCAAGACGCTGGATGGTCAAAAGTTTGCATTTTAGGACAAACAAACAAAATAAAGTTTTTCTTTATGAGTTTACATCTTTTCCACAGGGTAATCAACAGCTGGGATAGGTTACTGGGAAGAATGATTGAGGCGAAGACACTTAATACCACTATGGGATGATATAAGGGTGGGTTATCTGGAAAGAAGAAATTAAGTGAGTATTTGGCCCTATTTGATCCCAATCTCTCTTATCATCTTGAGTAGAAATTGATGAAAAAAATTGAACAAAGTTCTTTACACTTCGGTAGAAGTGAAAGCTCTCTGTCAGAAATTATATGTTTCTGAGAAACTACCAAATGACTTCACAGAGCAGTGTACTGGTGCTCCATCAGCAATGACATTGTTTAATAGAATTCACACTCCGCCCAAAGGGAGAAGAGAGATCTATCAGAGTGACAGAGGAACTGCAGAAGAGAAGATGAAAAGATACCCCAATGGACACAAGAGTGTCAAAGGACTCTCACCTCAAGTTGGGGATACTCTGCTTGCAAACAATCTACAACCGCACAAGTTCATAACTCCCTATCATGTGATTAAGAAGAAGGGGACCATGATTGTTGCGAAGAAAGGCATGAAGTTACCAGAGACTTCTTACATTTCGATCTTCTGCTTTAGGGTCACCACTTACCTTCCCATGACGCCAAGACAGATGATGATGATGATGATGATGATTTCTTTATCTCACACTAGAGCCAGCAGGGCTTCTGGTTATTCAGTACGATACAGCTCAAGGAAACAGAGGCGAAATATGCCAGCATCACAGGAAGGAGACGTCTTTCCAATCTAAAGGCCTTTGCATACAGTATCACTTCAAGTAAATAATACATAGTATTTCCATTATCTTAGACACCTCTATCATATGAACTTTCTCTGTTCCTACGAAAAGATTCCAAACCTCTCCAGCCTCTCCTTATAGCTCTCATTTGCTCTGTCTGAATTTTTAAAAAATAAATTATAATTTGGTCACTCAATCCATGACTCTTTGTGGGACACCACTGTGTGCAATTGGGTGTCGTGTTTTCCACTTTACCGTACAATCTGTGAAGCACTTTGAGACATACTGAAGATGTGATAAGGTGCTATATCGAATGCAAGGATTATTATTATTATTATTATTTAATCTCTGGTAACATCCTCGTGACCCGATACTACATTAAAGTAAGAGTGTGGGGTCATCGTGAGAATGGGAGGAAGAGTTGCAAAGTTCAGAATATATGAAGATAAGGAGAAACAAGAGACACAAATTCATATTTTATTGATACAGAAAGAGAAGAAAGGTTTGAAGGAGAAAGAGGTTGAGAGCCAGAGATGAGAGAAGGATCATCTGTCAGACGACAACTATTTTCTTGCATCCTCTTTCGGAGTTCAGGAGAACAGCTGAAAGAGCCCACTCACACTTTCAAAAGAAAATGCTGTGAACTGACAACACCGACAAAGGGGCTTTTCTAAAAAAAATGTTTCCTAATCAGCCTTGAAGCTAAACAAATTGCCAATGATCTTATTCGGAGATCACTGTTTACTTGAACTTATTAAACTGCCCTGCCTGATAGCTCTGCCTTGATGCAATATAGCTTTTGACTTTGAGGTTTCAGCCAGATGGACTGCAATATTCTTTCTCACTCTTGCACTTTCTAAAGTGCAGTGTATTTCATATTCCTTATGTGTTGGGTTCTCGACCCCATTTGTGTCATGTAGGAAAAAGGCACTGACTGTTCCCGTGCAGAAAAAAATCTACAGTGGCATTGCTAGGGTGTAGGAGCTGCCTATTTACAACAACTCAAAAGGGAAATTTATATTTACATTGCACTTTCATGTTGGGAGGACGCCTCAAAGCGCTTCACCAGTGAGGAAATGTTAAAGGGCTGTCTAAAGAGGGGGAGAGAAATACATATAGAATAAACAAACAGAAAACAAAGAAAGCTGGAATGTTTGAGTTTTTTTTAAGGGGAAAATGCCTATTAATTACATACAATAATTCATGATCAAGTATTTTTTATCAATTCCAAAAAAAACTAAAATTTTATTCAGAGAATGAAAATATTTAAGCTCTGTGTCTGACGAGATTTGGGGGAAAATACCTACGAAATGTCTACCCATCCCAAATATTTCTTGTTCACTAAATGGATGTTTAAATACCAGCTCCTGCTGTGATTCTGGGGAAATGGTGTCCTTGGGACAATTTTCTAGTTTTACTTTGTTTTCAGCACCACCTGCTGGCTACATGAGAAACGCACTTAATCTTTCTGCTTTGTGTGAACACTGGTCTGCAAGTGTAACCCAGCCAATGTGCAGATCATTAAAGTATTTTGTTAAGGACGCTAGAGAAAGTCAAGAGTGAGGAAAGCCCTCATTGCGAACCACAGCTCATCCTTCTTGAAAATGTTGTGCGCTTTGGCAAATGATTAGACAAGCTAGGGCTCTTCAGTCTTGAGAGAAGAGGGGACCTCATAGAGCTGTGGAAAAATCTAATACTTGACTATTCAAGTGAAAAAAACCTGCTGGTATCTTTAATGTTGGAGTCAGGAATAAGGGTAAATTAACGAAAAAAACGTGATATGAAAGTTCTAAATTCACATGAGTGATTGTTTGACATATTTGTGGTGGTGCATGTAGCTTTATTTATTATTTTATTTCATACTGCGGTCTAATTTGCAATATTTCTTATCAGATTTGTTCATAAGAAATGTGTCATTCTTATTTTCTGAGACATCAAATGCACATTCCATGTTTTAGAATGTCATAAGTACCTATTTCTTTTTAAGAAATCTGAGAAGTGATACCACAGATTTGACCCCCAAATTGACATATATGGGAGCGAAAAAGAGCAATGACCATAGTTTAAATATATATATTTCTATAGCCTTTCAGGCTGCCCCCGAGCAAAGAAAAGTGGAATCAAAATAGCTCAAAGCAAGGATGACAAAGAAGATCAAGAACCTATCAAGTAAGTACAGGTACTCTTCACGTTAACAGCAAATTCAGCACAGAAATATTTAATTAAAAAAGAAATATGATGGATCATGTGTTAGTTGTAAGTAAGAAAAAGAACCTGACCTAGAATACAATATTGTTGAACAGAACACGTCAACCAAAATATTGCATTCATGTGCATTTATAGTGATTCGCTGTAAATATAATTTTCTAATAATTTCAGCAAACACAGTAAAAGCTAGGCCTGTTTGTTGTGAAATGGTATTAGAGATTGCTATTTATTTAGTGAAGATATTAATAGACAATGTCCTGGCTAAGCTTCATAGGAGTTCCTGGCCAAACACAAACACAACCCAAGTCAAGCTGTAAAATAAACACAGCACAGAAGAACGGGGTGCAAATTATAATCTCTTGCCTCAATGCTATTTAGTCATAACAAAATTTACATTGTTAATTCAAAAGAGCAATATCACCAGAAACCTAGGTACACATAATCAAAGGTCAGCTTGAAATGTCACAACCGGGCCCTATCCCTTGCACCACAAAAAGGGAGACTGCTCCAGGAGAGTGGAATCCATCATCTGCGAGAACATATCTGCTCATCACTGTACTCATAAGACACCAGCAAAAGAACAGCAATAACAACAGCAACAACAAATTACATTTGTGAAACTCTTTTTACGTTGGGAGGACATCCCAAAGCGCTCCCCAGTCAAGGATGTGCACCCGAGCTGGGGGTTGGGATCAGGAGGGGTGGAGGGCAGGGAAGGTTGGAGTAGGAGGGTGACCGAAGGCCCGGTCGAAGAGAAAGGTATTGAGATGGGCCTTGAAGGAGGGAAGGGAGGGGGCAAGGCAAAGAGTGTGGGATAGAGTTCCAAAGGGTGGAGGCAGAAAGGCTGACTGCTGATTGTGGGGTGGCCAGGGCACGGGATGTGGAGCAGGCAAGAGTCTGCCAAATGGAGGGAGTGAACAGGCCGGTATGGGGTTAGCAGATCACAGAGGTCACAGAGCAGTATGCAAATAGATACGTAGGCGACCTGCAAGTACTGGGATTCACTGTAATCAGCCGGAGTATTTATTTCTTGATAATGTGTCAGAGGATATTGCTGGTAACATAACAGGCAATATTGCCCTCATTATGAATGTCATGCCAAACTACTCTCAGGTTGATTTACCTCACAAACCTGGAACGTGTTTAGAAAGTAATAGCTCAGTTAGAGAGAATTTCTTTTTTTTAAAAAACAAGTGAGCCTATTTTCAAACATAAATAATTTTCCACAGAAAAATTACACTTTTCACCAGGTCGTTTCTGTGATATTTCGAAAAAAAAACCTCTGCAGATCAAGGTGGAAAGGTAACACTGAGCAATGGAATAGAATTTGGTCACCCAGAAATCAGTAACAGGCAATCTTGGCAAAGCTAGCTTTCTTTTGCTCTGCCCTGGGGGTTCCCAATTATAGTCAGATGAGGTGCACCTACCTCAGTCATCAATCTTACTGAGGTCTAGATGGGACACTGGGACTCCGAGTGCTGCCAGCTATACTGTGCGTGGTCAGGATATGGCTTCACATTTCTGTCGCAGTCCCAGATGTTACGGAGAACCCCTGGTCTAGTCAATTAATTGTTCAGCTGAGCACGATGACTCCTGTTCTTCCTGTCCACGCTTCCAATTATTTGTAATCATTAGTTTTCTAATCTTATATATTTATTGTACTCTTCTTTCTCTTTTTTGGATTAATTTGACCTGGTTTCTGTTGTCAGTTATTTGCACTCTCCTGTCATTCCCTCCTTCCCTATGGGGGGGAACTATAATCTGAAAGTACAACAACTTGCATTTATATAGCGCTCTTCACACAGGGCAGCATCCCAGAGCACTTAAAGTAGATTGCATTGGAGCAGACATTCCTTGAGAATGGCATGAAGCTCTTCCTGTTTCCTTAGTAAGCAATCCTTTTAGAAATAACCCCATATTCGACCTCAATCTTGATAATGTGATAAGGCATATATCAAATGCAAGGATGATTATTTTTATTAATCTGCCCGAACAAACACCGGCATTCATATAGGGTCCTTTATGTAGCATAATGACTCGGAGTGATAATAATAATAATCCTTGCATTTGATATAGCGCTTTTCACGTCGGGAGGACGTCCCAAAGCGCTTCACAGAACATACTGTAAAGTAAATTGACTGTATATTTGTGGGCGAACGCGGCAGCCAATTGCGCACAGCAATGTCCCACAAACAGTCGTAGATTGAAAATGACCAATTTATTATTGTTTTTGGTTTTGGAGGGATTATTATTAGGCGTGTGGAGTAAGGAAACTTGCCCAAGGTTTCGCCCTGCCTGGATAACCAGGCCTTTAGAATGATTCTTTCCCATTTTCCAAAGCAAACATTCTTGGTGAGGTATCTGAGTGATACCGACAAAAGAGTTTCAATTTGAATAGTTTTGAGCTGTGGTCAACATCAACTGGGAGGTGGGTTGACTCAGCACCAAACAATTTTTACATAAGATCTTCAAATAGTGAGGTTCAAACATTTATTTCGTTTTACACAAACATATTAATTCATAACCAGCCTTGTTCATGAAAACACATAAAAGTTAAACATCGGTTTAGGAAACAAATATTACCTTCTCAGATAAAGGCAAAAATCCATCAGACATTTGGGATATTGTTTTTAAAATCACAGTAACAATTGTAATTGAAACATCCTTTCATATTCCATGGGTTAGTTTCTTTTCCTATACTTGCATTTATATATCACGTCATTGAGATGTTTCAAAGCACTTCACAGAATATACTGTAAAGTGAATTGACTGCTTTTTGGGGCAAAACATGGAAACCACTTGTGCACAGCAGTGTCCCACAAACAGTCGTGGATTGAGTGACTTAAATATTTTTTTTGAGGGATAATTACTCCCAGAAAGCGAGACGCCAAATGACTAACAACCGTATTAACAACCCAGGCTCGACTATGCAAACTTGTCGGCCTTCCCAACTCCTCCCTCCACAGGCTGCAGATAATCCAAAACTCTGCAGCCCGCGTCCTCTCCTGCACCAAACTCCATGACCCCATCTCCCCCACTTTCGCCCAACTTCAATGGCTCCCTATCCTTCAGATGATCCAGTTCAAGATTCTGGTCCTCACCTACAAAGCCCTCCACGGCCTCGCCCCACCCTACCTCTGCAACCTCCTAATCCCCTACCAACCCGCCCACTCCCTCCGCTCAGCCGGCTCTGGCTGCTCCACGTCCCCCGACCCACCCGCCCCACCATTGGCGGGAGAGCCTTCAGCCATTCTGTCCCCAACCTCTGGAATTCCATCCCCCAATCACTCTGCCTCGCCCTTCCTTAGCCTCCTTCAAGTCCCGCCTCAAGACCCTCCTCTTCGACCATGCCATTGGTCACCCCCCTTCCCCTCTTCTCCCTTCTCCCCCCTGACTCCAGCTTGGGTCTGAAATGCTGTACACTGTCCAGCTCCTTGGGACGTCCTCCCGACATGAAAGGTGCTGTACAAATGTAATCTTGTTGTTCTATTACTACTTATTTCTAGTTAAACAGAGGAGTGTTTCTTTTTATTTAAGATGTCCGGTTCCTGGGTGTGACGGTCAAGGACATGTGACTGGAAAGTACGCATCACATCGCAGTGCATCAGGGTGCCCTCTCGCTGCAAAGAGGCAAAAGGACGGTTACCTCAATGGCTCCCAGTTCTCATGGAAGTGTGGGAAAACAGAAGGAATGACTTGCCCAACCCCAGGGTGTGATGGCTCAGGACATGTAAGCGGCAGTTTTCTTACCCATCGCAGGTAAGAAATTAGGGGACCGTTCTTGAAACTACTATCTCGAAGTTAAGGCTGCAATGGTTACGGAGATTCTGATTCCAAAGATGTTATCAATGAAGCATACAGAAAGGCTTGAATTACTGTGAGCCTGTTTTCTTCCCCTTTTTCATTGTTTTTTCCTCTCCGGGTGACACTGACTGGGTGGGGGTGGGGGCTTGAAATTCTTGATGTGCCGGGTGTTGACAAAGAAAATGCAAACTTTATGAAGTTTACTGGTATTTGTGGGTTCCAACTGCCCAGTAGTACAATTCTGGGACATTTTGAAACTCAGCCAGGTTGTCAGGGTGAGATGGAGCACAGAGCGGAGGCCAGCACTTCCACTCCAGAGAGAGGAACATTAGAGGTTCTCTGTGGTCGCTCCACGCTGCTTTTTTTGTGCCTAGGAGCTAGTTACAATGGTCTGTGTTCTCATAGATAAAGACGGTATGCATCCAGTTTTCACACGTAGAAGAAAGAAAATATTCAGCCAAAAGTGATTTCTATCTAGGCATTTACTTAATCCATACGAGTGAAATTTGTGACTATGTGGATGAGAGTAGCATGTTTTGGAATATTGCAGTGTAATTTTTAAAAATTTGGTCATGCAATCATTATTAACTCAGAACCTATTCACGAGGCTGATGGGATTATGTTGTTGATATTGGTACAGGAAGCAGTTTGACATAAGAATCACATTCACACTAACAATAACTGGAGCGCAGTGTGACAGGCTAGGTAGGCAGGACAAGAGCTCACAGGTTTACGGTTTTTAAGGGCCACTTTAGGACAGGCACCAGGATATATTTATTGATATATATGGTAATCAACAGCTGGAACAAGTCACCAGGAAGTATCTGAGGTCAGCAACTTGCACTTATTTAAAGGGGACCAGGTTGGGTGATATTCTTTATTCAAGGCATTCTTGTCATGTAGTTGTGTGAGGTTAAAATGTGTGATATAGTATGTCAACTGACCAATGTCATCAACAGTTTCATCTTATGTGACAGATATTGGGTAGTAACTATTTTAATATATATAATAATGTACAATAATTACATGTTTTGTTCCCAATATTATTAGTAAAACTTATCTAGCCTTTAATAAATCATTAACAGTAATATCAGAATTTAGCAGAAATGTCCATCATGATTATTTTAATTGTTGTGTTTTATGATGTTAAGAAATAATGATCTGTGGCAATTATCATAGATTTTATGCATTATGATATGTCAGCGTATTGTTAAATCATGACAAATTAAATTTTTAACACTTGGATTTGTACAAACATTTGCGCTGCAAAAAGTATTTCAGTCCCCACTAATATCATTTGGCTAATCGGATTAATTTAATTTTTCTACATTTTCATGGTCTCAGCTTGTCAGGATGCCCGAGAGCTACTTCTGCGATGAAGAAGGCAAGGTTATCAGGAGAAGAGATGTTAACAATAAAGCAGCGGGCCAGTAATGGTAAACCCACTTTACTTACCTTAATAAGAAATAATAATATTTGTTACATTTGATGGGGCCCCTTATCACATTGTCGAAACATCTCAAAACTCTTCACAGGATTCCACTGTAAAGTGTGGTGACTGTGCACTTGTAGGCAAAACCTTGTGAACAATGTACACTTGACAACCATGAAAGTCAACAACAATAGCAACTTGCATTTATATAGCACCCCTCATGCAGGGTAGCGTCCCAGAGCGCTAGTCCTGATGGACAGAGTAGTCCGTTTTAGGAATCTTACAGGTAGTAAGTTGTTTAGTTTGGACTGGGTGCATTCTAGCAATAACAGAAAAATATCCTGGAAACTCAGTTGGTTCACATCGCACACAATATCCAAAAGTTTTTTAAGTTGAAATTCCAAGTATTTTCGTCACCTTTTTTTGAGATGAATAAAGGAGTACAATGTTTAATGGGGGAAAAAGCTCCTCTTGGGAAGAGGTAAGGATGTCTCCGTGAGGTGACGAAGGAGTAGATGAGGGTTTCAGCTGCATTGGGTATGATTCCCCAAATAAAATTTGTCACTCACTCCTTGTTTTTTGCGTGACATTGCTGTGCGCAAACTGGCTGCTGTGTTTCACCCATAAAATACAAAGTCAATTGACCTGTGAAGCACTTTGAGATGTCTCACCGATGAAGAGAAGATTATTATTGTTGTAAAAAAATATTTCAGCAGAGAAAGAATGTGACTATCTCTGAATTAATCAGAGCAAAATGGTGAAATTCATTTAGAAATGCACTAAATGTTAAGTTATCTCTGTGATCTATTGTGTATTCTGTATGATTCCACACACATCTTGCGTGCCATCTGAAATCAATCTTCAAAAGGCTATAAGAAGATTCCTTATGAATAATCCAATAAATAGGACCTATAATGTCAAAACTTCTCTAAGTGCTTCCAAAGTAATTCCTGCCAAGTGTAGTTACTGTGTAGTCAAATCTGGCAGTCTATTTGGAAACAGCCACGAGGCGAATGGCAAATTAATCTGGGTAATTATTGATCAAGGCAACTCGGAGAACCTCCCTTCATTTTGGAATTGTGTCATGTAATCTTTAATATCCACCTGAACAGGCAGATGGGACCTTGGTTTAACGTCTCATCAGAAAGACTGTACCTCTGACAATGTAATGCTCCTCAGCACTACATTGGATTTTAGCCTACTGTGAGCTCAGGTTGCACTGAGTTCCAAGTGTGGGTATAGTGTATTTTGTAAGTGTTGAGACAACTGTGAAAAACAACATTGGATTTAGCAACATTACTAAGGCAATAGGGTAATTGGGTATAATAGATTCAGCAATAAGTAACAGATCACATCAACTATCCATTGAAAGAGGCATTGCACTGTAAGCTAATAGAAAGGGCATCAAATTGAGTTAGGTGGTAACATCAAAAGAAAATGGAAAATAATAAGTAAATAATCCAGTAGAGCACTGTAAGATTTGAAGGCACTAACTCAATTTTGACTGGAATGAGTGAAAGCAGATCAAACTTCTATGAATCTTATGAATACCTTTCATCTTTCAGCAACCGACTTCCTCACAGCATGTTTCAGGCTTCAGAGGTCTGAATAATTCATATATTAAATGAAAAATAGTGGCTCATTGGCACATAATAATAATAGTAATCCTTGCATTTGATATAGTACCTTATTACGTCGTTGAGACATCTCAAAACACTTCATAGAATATATTGTAAAATGGATTGACTGTGTACTTTGTGGGCAAAATGTGGCAGCCTGTTGTACATAGCAGTGTCCCACAGACAGTCGTGGATTTAGTGACCAAATTTATTTATTTATTTATTTTTGCAGGGATTATTTCCCCGGGAAAGCAATCCACCAATCGACTACTGATCGGGTTCCTACCCACTGCTAGGTAAACAGAGGCTTGTGGAGTAAGGAAACTTGCTTAAGGCTTCACCCGGCCCGGGAAATGAACCCAGGTCCTCTCACTTGCGAGGCGAGCGCACTAACCACTTTGCTACAGGACTCCACAAACACGCTGGCCGACCAATGTGCTACCAAATAGTAAAGAATGGATTTCCTCTTCCCCCTCCTCCCTCCCCTCGCTCTGCCAAACACCAACTTCCTAATTTTAGCTTGAGGATCTGGAGAGAGGAGACTAAGAGGAGGTCACTTCCTCCTCCAATAACTCAGTTACTTCTTTCTTATTTATTTTTTACTCCTCCCCTTCCATCAGGTTATAAGTTTTAGAGTTCCTCACAATGTAATACAGTGAGACTAACCAGCAGGATCGCAAAATGATGTCAGTATTTTATTCGATCAAAGTGACATCGATAAGATGTTATTCTGTACATAAAACCGAGATGTGTAGTTTGAGAGATGGTGACCGCTTTAGCATACGTTGATCCTGTGTAGATGGATAATCTTTCTCATTCAGTGGTGACATCTTGCTCTCCTTATTGGTGTATTGTGTTCAACACTTTTAAACTGTAATCTCATGCCAGCCTCAGATCTTGTCTTGCTTTGTTACAGAAACTGCTCATGACCAGTTCATGCTGGTTCTTTATCTCTGTTTTACCTTTTGAACCCCTTATCAAGACCCCTGTGACAATCGTGCTTCTAAATGACATCTGTGTCTGATAGCATAATATTCCCCTTTCTCAAGTCTGAAAAACACGCAGGCTGCGGACCAAATCCTTCAAAGCTTCTCTCTTTTTATCAATCCTTTTTCTCATGGAATAACAGCCTGCTCGAGGTCACTGGCCGCATGAGATGAGCAGGGAGGTGGCTGCAGGTGTACTTTTCTTTTTTGTCAGAATACACTAAGTGTGAGCACAAAGCACATGTAGCAAAAATCACCAGTTTACAGGCTTAACACATCTCCCGAGTAAACATTTAAACGCCAATATTAGGTGGTACACAAGCAAGTCTAATGCATACCATTTAACCTGATCTGTTATGGTCTCGATGACCTTCTAGCAGGAAGAAAATAACTAAACGGTGGAGGAGTTTATTAAAATGCATGGTATTCAACAATATTTATATGAAGTAGCACTAGGTATGCTACAGAAAATATTTTATTCTGCAAATAGTAAAATCCTATTATGGTAGTAATAAAAAGTTCTGGGCACCACACTTTAGGAAGGATGCCAAGGCATTGGAGAGCTTGTAAAGGAGATTTACCAGGATGGTACCAGGAATGAGGGACTTCAGTTATCAGAAGAGGCTAGAGAAGCTAGGATTATTCTCCTTGGAGCAGAGAAGGTTAAGAGGAAATTTAATAGAAGTTTTCAAAATTATGAGGGGATTCGAAAGGGTGAACAAGGAGAAATTATTTCCACTGGCGGGTGGGTCGGTAACCCGAGGACACTGATGTAAAATAGTTGTTAAAAGTAACAGAGGGGAGGTGAGGAGAATTTTTTTCACACAGCAAGTTGTTCGGATCTGGAATGCATTGCCAGAAAGAGTGGTGGAAACTGACTCGATAACAACTTTTAAGAGAGAAGAAAATAACTATTTGGGGAGGACAAGTTTACAGGGCTATGGGGAGAGAGCGGGGGAGTGCAATTGATTTGGGTAGCTCTTCTCAAAGAGTCAGCACAGACATGATGGGCTGAATGGCCTCCTTCATTGCCGTATATTTCTATGATTCTATGAAAAGCCATGGTAACTACGGTGTTGCAATGGTTAATCCTCCTAGACTGAGGCAGGATGATCTTGTTTAATACTATATAATACTGTACATCTGAATTATTCATTTATCACACAATAAGCTTAATGTGGGTCTTGTTTTCTGACCTAGAAGTGACAAAGCTGAGCTGACATTTTTTTTGAAAATGTTATTTATAAATATAATATTTAGTACAACAGGAATCCCAAACACAAAAACAAACATCTTTTGTTACAATTTTTCCTCCTTTTCTCAATACAAAAAACATTCCGTTGTTTACGGTACATTCCTTCCCCGCACGAAGGTTGTGCACACAGTTTTCTGGACGCTCCCTTTAACACAGTGGGGAGTCTCGCCCCTGTGTACACCACATCCATGTGTACGCCCGCACATACCCTGATAAGGCGCACTTGCCACTTTCGGGAGTGCCCCGATGTGCACCGACCCGCACATGTTTACCGTAATACATTTTCGGGACACTCTTTGGTTACATCTCAAGTGTCCTTCTGTACCCTTACTTCAGTCAGTTTTGGGTGCACTCGTGACGAGCTCAAGAGCTAGCCTGATTGCTCAAACATGCAGCTTATCTTTAACTCTGTACTTGTATTCTTTCCCACATCAGGCTTCACATGCCCGTTGCCTCCATCCAGCGCCATCCAGGCTGACTTCAATGTGTATATGCGTACCAATCCAAAACATTCCTCAAATTGCCGATTTAGGTCATTCGGTCATTCCTAAAAATTCAAATCTACACCAACTGCACAAAATGTGTCTCCGTAATCGACTATGAAGTTACCCTGATAACATTTGATGAATTATGGCTTTGCAATCAGACAAAACACTTTTGTTGCATCTTATTGAGTAAGGTCCAAAACTATTAAAGATCAGTGAACATGAGGAGGATGTCCTGCTCCTTGCCAGGATCCATTCTCTTCAAACATGAAACTACATTACTGGTTTGTGAGACTTATGCATAATTATATCATGCAACTACACTAGAAGAGTTATAATAATAATACTTGCATTTGATATAGCGCCTTATCATGTAGTTGAGACAACAAGAACAACTTGGATTTATATAGCGCCCTCCACGCCGGGCGCTTCACAGTAACGGATCCCGGGGCCGACCCAGGGGGAGGGGGAGGAAGGTGACCAAAGGTGCGGTCAAAAAGAAAGGTCTTCAGCAGAGACCTGAAAATAGGAAGAGAGGGGGCGAGGCGAAGGGAGTGAAGAAGGGAGTTCCAGAGCCTCGGGGCGTAGTGGCTGAAGGCAAGGCTGCCGAGGGTGGAGCGGAAGACTCGGGGGACAAGGAGAAGGCCAGACCTGGAGACATCTCAAAACACTTCATTGAATATATTGTAAAGAGAATTGACTGTATATTTTGTGAGCAAATGTTGCTAACATTTAATCCACACCTTAATGTTTGTGCCAGGCACAAAAGAGCTTCTGTAGCTCAACAGCAACATTCTTTGCCAGTCAAATGGGTTGACATAGCATGCCAGCAGGCAAATTTCACACATTACTTTTTCTACTTTTGGAACTCTATCCCATACAGTGTTGACATCTGTGAATGTGCTTCATGTACACACGTTTTAACCATTCAATCAGAGTTGCTGAACCATGCATTAAACTGTCACAAATCTGTTATCTGTTAGTAACCCAAGACAATTTCTCCATGTCAATACAGTCAATTCACTCTACACTATATTCTGTGAAGTCTCAACAATGTGATAAGGTGCTATATTAAATGCAAGGATTATTATTATTATTATTATTAGGTCTTTCTATGCCTTGCAGGTACCACAGTCAGTATTGTGTGATATCTGGTCATATCACAGTCATTTATGTCTGCATCTGTTGTGAAGCAAATTAATATATGTAAAAANGAAAACTACAATTCCAAAAAGAGATCAACAATGCAATTGGATTGCACCTCCATTATAAAGTGCTTTGTTTGTAGTACTCGTGTGCTTAGAAGACAGGTGCATTGGGGACGTCCTGCACTGCAAGTATGTTGTGTCACTGCATAACATAACATAACCAGCTCGTGGTAGTAGGTTTGGTTACATACCATACATAACCTAACCGGTTTCAAGCATGTTAGGTGTGTATTGTTGCTGTGTTCAACCAAATTTACTGGAGTGAGTTGGTTAGGGTGTGTGTTGTGAAGCTGGTGGCTTTCTCCGCACACATCAGCGACAACCTAATGTCCCGGAAGACAATCAGTTTTTGTGCAGGAAGGATAATATATAACTAGTTCCATTAAGACTACATGCCCTATTAGTTTTAATAGAGCACGTTCATCTTATCTTTGGTAACTTTGTCTCTAAATAGAATGTCTTTGTTTTCATTTACTTGGCAGCAGAGAAGGAAAGGAAAGGTGGAATCCCAGGCTTGACATGAACTCAGTGCTAGGCAGCTCGTGATTAGAGATTACAAAAGCACTGAAGCATCAAGGCTGCCAAAGGTCATCAATGAAAGGAAGGAGGGCTAAAAATGAGGCATGGACAACATTATGAGAAAGTTTAGTTGTTATTATACATACCAAAGCGATAAAAAAATACCTACTGGTTGTTGATTGGTGTATCGCTTTCCGGGAGTAATAATCCCTCGAAAAAATATTATTATTTGGTCACTCAATCCACGACTGTTTGTGGGACACTGCTGTGTGCAATTGGCTGCCGCGTTTCACCCACAAACTACACAATCACTACACTTTACAGTATATTCTGTGAAGCGTTGAGACGTATTGAAGATGTGATAACGTGTTATATCAAATGCAAGAATTATTATTATCAAATGCAAGGATTATTAAGAATTTTGATCAGTCTGTCACCAATAGCTTGTTGGTTAGTAATCTATATTTTAGTTAGCAGCTGGCAAGATAGAATGTCCTAGTGGAGCTAAGATCTATGGTACAAGAGTAGTATCCACAGTAGTTTTAAACTTATAGGATTCAGGGACATTTAATGGATAGTAATGTGTAGTCATTTTTGCATTTGACTCAAAACACGGAATTGCAGTTTGGCAAAGCTGTTTTACCTGCTGCCATACTTCTATGAGACTAGATCCATGTTCCTCTTAAGTGCTTTGAGAGAACAGATGTGTAAAAGATAAACCGAGTAATCTACCTGTAGAGAAAAGGAGAAAGAACCAAATATATGTCATGTATATATGAATTACAATTTTTATTCAGATATTACCTAGGCGAGACTCTCTTTCACACCTTTATTTTTTAGTTACAGCTGCTTTATTGCCTATGTGTTTTTTTAATTAACATTATCCTTTCTTGCAGTATTCTCTTTTAGGACTAGACATGCACTTTAATGGGTAACGCAGAATCCTGTGCCTGGCTCTTTTCCTCCAATTTACTGACATCAGTTTCATACTTAATTTCAACTGCACAGTTACAACGTGATTCTGGAACTCCATCCTGGAGTCCCTTCGCCTGGCCCCTTCCCTCGCCTTCTTCAAGGTCCATCTCAAGACCTTCATCTTTGACCGTGCCTTTGGTCATCTTTCCCCGACACCCACACCCGAATTTGGCGCTGCCCCCTCCCCTCCCCCAAATCCAAACCCTAGCTTGGGTGCGAACCCGTGACTGTCCAGCACCTTGGGATGTCCTCCTGATGTTAAAGGTGCTATATAGGCACCATTTGTTGTTGTTGCCCTCTCAACATGAAAAGCGCTATAGCAAATGGAAAGATTATTATCACTGTATCATCCTTGAACACTTTATGGCTAATTTCCTATTTCTGACTTTCCGCATGCGCTGTGTTCAACTCAGATGGAGCAGAGATGTTTACAGTTTTCCCAGAGGCTTTATTTTTCTATTGCTAAAGAAGATGAGCTAGGAAATTTGAAAAGATACATCTACAAAGCATCGAATGCCTCATTTTTGCAGCTAGAGGTTGTTCAGAGCGGGAAATACGATTTGTATTTCTCACTGAAAAATTGCTGTTATCTTCAAGCGACTAAGTACATGCACCAAAAAAGTTAATGTGTTTAATGCCATTAATGATCCTGGAGTGCAATCAAATCTTAATGATATTAGAAAGCTTGACAGTGGTCCACCAAACGATCCAACATTTTTAACCCTATTTTAAGGTTGACTGCAATACAGATCTGATTTATACTGCAGGCAACTAACTAATTGATTCAATTCGTGGAGTCCTGTAGCTCAGTGGTTAGAGCACTCGCTTTGCAAGTGAGAGACCTGAGTTCAATTCCAGGCAGGGCGAAACCTTGGGCAAGTTTCCTTACTCCACACGCCTAATAATAATCCCTCCAAAACAAAACAATAATAAATTGGTCATTTTCAATCTACGACTGTTTGTGGGGCATTGCTGTGCGCAATTGGCTGCCGCGTTCGCCCACAAATATACAGTCAATTCACTTTACAGTCTATTCTGTGAAGCGCTTTGGGATGTCCTCCCGACGTGAAAAGCGCTATATCAAATGCAAGGATTATTATTATTAATTCTTGAAATTGCCTCCAGAGGTGGCTTTGGGAGCAAGGCTTAGAATCTAAATGACTCAGTTTTAAACCTGATTGTTATTGCACTTTTAGCATTGAATTAATGCAAGGACAGTGCTCAATTAATGCTAACTGTGCAGTTCAAATAGAGCATGAATGGGAGTAAACTAGAAGAAAAGAGGCAGGAGATAATTCTGTGTTGATGCCCATTGAAATGCATGTCCAGTCCTATAGAGGATACTGCAAGAAAGGATAATGTTAAAAAAAAACATAGGAAATAAAACAGTTAAAATAAACCAATGTCCAAGCTGTTAATTCTAATTTTCACACTTTCTCTTCTGTCATTTTTTGAATAATAACTTAATACCAATTTCAGATATAGTGAAAGACCATTGGTCCATCTCACATCCAATTTCCCACACAATTTCTTTTCATGAATATATCTCAAAATCTAATAGCACGGTTTCCTTTTAATCGATAATACCAGGATCATACAGGTATATTATGTGACCAAAACTGAATATGTTAAAAAATGTATGCAAATTCAATACCAAAGCTAACACTAATCTATCAGTAATTTCCTCAAGCCATGAATGTCTGTTGAAGTTTAGCCAATATTAACATTTTTATAAGCACAAATCTAAACCAGTGCAGTGCTGTGAATAAAGAGCAAAACATCAGGCTGATATTTTAATTTATTTAAAACAAAGGCAAAACATCGAAATGATGGATTACATCCGCAGCTAATATCTTTCTGAGTAAAATTTGAATTCCAAATAGAGCCTACTGTGTGCCAAGGAGGAATCGTCAATTATCCTTGGATTTCAACTTCCATTTTCTTCCGTAGGGATAGAGAACGATGAAGAAATCAAGCAGCTTGATGAAGAAATTAAGGAATTAAATGAATCGAATTCCCAGATGGAAGCGGACATGATCAAGCTTAGAACCCAGGTGGTGTTTCCTTTAAGTCTCACAGTATTCTTCAGCTGAAATTCTCTATTATAAAGTTCTTCTGGCACATTAGATATTCCTCAAGATCATAGAGGACATTTATTTATTTATATTTCTCCCCTCCCTTAGGTCCCCCAAACCATGCAGCATTCCCTGACTGAAAGGGTGAGTAGGTGATATTTGCTGCCTTTGCCACTTTGTAACAGGCTTCTTGAAGCTGTTTCAGAGTGTCCCAGGCTGACTTGCCTGATGATTTTCTCTCTGACCCTTTGAGGAAGCTTATGCTCTCAGCTCAGCAGTTTCCCTTAGTTCCTCTGGGTGAGATCAAGAAGCTGCCACACGGGGTATCAACCCACGTCCTCTCATTCGATGCATTTAGAAACCAGCCCACAGTGTCACCAGCTAATCTAATAAATATTCTTATATGTATTACAAAATTTGCTAAAGTAAAATAAAAATGTTATATGACTGTATTTCCAAGTCTTTATTTACAAGGTTATTGTCCAGGATAATTCTATTTGGCAAGGTGTGATACTTTCTAGACTAGCTAGGAATAGTGAGGAACATTCGTCTTTCTGTCCTTACTCGCCGATGACCTTTGCTATACTGTTAACAGAAAACATGCAAAACACCTCTATAAAGGATCAGGGTCTAGCTCCAGACATCCCGTGACTGATCAGATTGTCAACATAGCCAGAGGATGTGAATGCATACTGACCACTAAATAACCTTGAATGGGACAGGTTGATTTGTATGGCTGCCACTGATTAGATTCCAATACTAGGCTATCAGAAATGAATGCCCTCCATTAACTGAGCCGAATACAGTAAACGCTACCCTGTTAAGCACTATTATCACGGAAAACTGATGGCCACATGCACACAAATGGTGCATAAATACATGGGCCAATTTTTAAGTGAGAGGTCAGTCAAAGCCAAATGGGCAAAAGGCAAGAATTCATGAATTAACTTCAAATTGCCCAGTTAATGGATCACTTTGGGTTCTCGACTTGATTTGATATTTGTCTCTAATTTCTGTCTGTATGAATTCATGTTGCTGTACTCCGATTGATGTTGTATGTTTTGTGGTGTAGGTAACTAATTGATATTGTATGCTTTGTTGCTCAGATTACAACAATGGAGAATAACCTAAAAACGATAGAAGAAGAAAACAAAGCAATTGAACAACAGAACGAGTCCCTTCTGCACGAGTTGGCTAACCTCAGTCAGTCCCTTATCCATAGCTTGGCTAACATCCAATTACCACATATGGTAAGGTCTAAATTAAAAATGTGGTTTCTATCATGAATTATCAAAATTATGACAATAAGAAAGCTACAGTAAGTTTACAAATGTACATATATAATAAAGTATCAGGATGCATTCTTGTGCCATATTTCTTTAAATCTATTTAAATTCTACAAACTAATACATCGAGGCCATCTTAAAACAAATTCTTAGTTGTCAAAGAAAATGCTTTTTGTCAGAAAAAATTGACCTTGGCAGATTCTCTCAGATATTTCTAAAACTAGAAAAAGATTTGATTTTAGTCTAATCAGAGTGAGTAACTCCAATGTGCTGCCCTGTACTGCATTTCGTATTCCTTCCTTACCTTCTCCTAAATTGCTGCTCTGTAACCTCTGCATCATCTTAACTACTTCAGTCCAAATGAACAAATTGGACATAAAGCTATTTACAAATAAATGTTTCCAATGTAAATGATTTTTGAGGACTTACACAATCAGTAACTATGAAAGATGATATTGCTGTGTGTCTACCTACTTCTTGTAACCTAAAAATCTATCACAATCTTTCTTACTTCTGAGTACATCAGCTAATATCACGCCCCTAGTTCAGTCAACTGAGCATCAGATGGGAAGCATTTTGGTTTAAATCTTGGCTGATCCACTCAACTCTTCATCTTTTCAGGGTTAATAAAATTATGTGTTAGCCATAATGAAAATGATTGCTATTTTTAATGTATCATACACCAATTTGTGGATAAAATCCAACAAAGGAGCAAAGATGCTTCATAAGCATCTTTGCTCCTAATGATCTTTGTGAGCCCTCCAACAAACAAGCTTATAGCAGCCAAAGTGGCTGTCCCTTTATATATTCACCCACTTAAATCATAGTTGCATTTGAGATGGCGTTGTCAGGAAGGTGTGTGTGTGTGTCTGTACTAAATTGTGATATTTTATAAGGGTCCCTTTTAAGAAATTTGTAATTATCAAATTTCTAAAACACTGAATGTGTTGATTACTAAAAGCATTCTTCAGCACATTTAATGTTTTAAAAAATCAATAATTCCACATTTTTATTAAAGACATACTAGTCAAATTAGATACCAAGGTGTCTAGTCTAATAAGCTATTTATTGCAAATGAGAGGAAATTTAACTTGATTGCACTGTATGTTGATTTCTTAGCATGAAACATTTCTTAGCATGAAATGTTTATTGTATTCTTTACATCTATCCTGCCTGATCATCCACACTTTAGTTAGGAACATTCTGTGTACAGCCAGTTTAACGAGTGGGTAAGAGGAAAGCATTTGCACCATCAGATTAAGATCAAGATTTACAAATAACAGTGTGTGAATTGACATAAGTACTGCACTGGCAACTTCTTTATATTAAATAACAGAACAAGTGAAGCTGGACGCAGCTATAGCTGGAACAGATAATAATATTCCTTGCATTTGATATAGCGCCTTATATCGTTGACATATCTTGAAGCGCTTCACAGAATATATTGTACAGTGAATTGACTGTGTATTTTGTGGGCCAATACAAATACACGGTCACTCAACAAAAATATTATTACACCATCCAATAGTAAGCACCACATATGCAGTATCCCTACAACCATTATATGATGTTGGCTTCATTATGTTTTTCGTCACCTTAGACCCTTGATGGAGACGGCGAGGTGGGCAACATGCTCATAACCCTTCTGTAATCTTGATTTTGAAATCAGCAGATAGGAAGTCCGTGAGAAGGGCAAAGAGCTCGCGGCTCCCTCTGATTTTTCCTCTCCACTGTGAAAATGTGACTGCCTGCCTTCCACTTGACGGAACAAAATGATTGAGATTGGTGATTGAGTATTAAAGGAAAGCTGAAACTGGCTGTCCTACTCAGTGAACACATACATACTGTTATGACACCACATGTTGATATTCTAATAGGGTACATCAGCATGCCATCATTGGGGCAACCAAATTTCATTGAAGTAGGAAACTAAATCCAGAGTTGACCATCTCATTCTCAGTTTTTAAGACAAGAAACTATGTTGGATTTTTAGCTCATAAACTGAATTGGTTAGTGAGTTGCCATCTTAACCATAGAAGTGGAAAGGGCAAATTTATGTAGCAAATTCAATGTAGAAAATGTGAAGTGGCTCATTTTGAAATAAATAATAGGGAGGGAAATTATGACCCTGTGTAGTAGAACTCTCAATGAAGTGGTGAAACATAGGGATCAGGATGTACAAATGCATAGTTTGTTAAATGCAAGAAGGTAAGAACTACATAAAAGGGCAAACGGTATTCTGGGGAGAGTCAGAGGCATGGAGGCATTGTAAAGTTAGTTTGAGGATCTTAGGATCAGCCTATTGTAGAATTGGGAGCCTTTGGAGCCTGGTGACGATCTGGATGATGTGCTCATGGAAGACATTAGCACAAACAATATGGCTTGTGGAGTTCTGGATGATACAATACAAAATTACATTTGTATAGCACCTTTCACGTTGAGGGGACGTCCCAAGACGCTGGACAGGGTGGGGGCAGAGAGGCTGAAGATCCAACCGCAGATGTTGGGGCAGGCCAGGCGAGGGATGTGGAGCAGGCTGGAGCCTGCTGAGTGAAGGGAGCAGACAAGTTGATATGGGGTTCAGCTGGTCCCAGAGGTACGAAGCAACTAGGCTGTGGGGGACCTTGAAGGCGAGGAAGAGGATTTTAAACTCTATCCTCTGGGGGATGGGGAGCCAGGGGAGCTGGGCGAGGGTGGGGATGAAGGGGTCACGGAGTGGGAGAGGACACGAGCTGCAGAGCTCTGGATGATCTGCAGCCTTTGGAGGGAAGATTTCACAAGACCGACAAGCAGGGAGTTGCCATAGTCGAGTCAGATGTGATCAATGCATGAATGAGGTTTCAGTGGCCTGTGGGGTGAGGCAGTGGGGGAGCCGGGTCATGGCACGGATGTGTAGTGGAAACAACAGTTGAGGGTCAAACAAGACCCCAAAGTTCCGGATTGGCTTCGTAAGATGGAGTGTGCATCCATGGATGGTGATGCTGCCAGTGCCTGAGGTGTGAAGACACTCACGGGAGCCAATCAGGAGAGCCTTGGCCTTGTTGACTTTCAACAGGAGAAAGTTAGCTCTCATCCAGGACTTGATGTCCAACAGACATTCTGTCAGGCATCAGTGGTTCTGGAGTCGAGGATGGAGGCAGAGAGATAGAGTTGGGTGTCACCCGCATACATATGGAAGTTGACCCCATGTCTGCGGATAATGTCACCAAGAGGGAGCGTGTAGATATTGAAGAGGATCTGTAATTAATGGAGAGTTGAGAAGAGCAGCAAGGAAGGTATTGGAGAAATGTACATGGAAATGACAAAATCATGGTTGAGGACTTTGGCTACATTAATGATGAGGTTATAATAATATTCCTACATTTGATACACTTGAATATCATTGAACTATCTCAAAGCACTTCATAGAATATATTGTAAAGTGGATTGACTGTGCATTTTGTAGGCGAAACATGGAAGCCAATTGGCAGCCAATTGCGCAGAGGTAGGGATAGAGATAAACAATGCGGGGAAAATAAAACTGGACTTATTCAATGACTGGACCAAGTGGGAGTTAAAAGGAGCAGGAAATTAGATTGATGCAATAAATGAGAAAGCAGAGAGATGAGAGTCAGATGGAGGCAGCAATATGAAGATGAAAACAGATGAAGAAGTGAGGATGAGGGAGTCAAGGGTTTTTGGAGGAAGTACAGGCAGCTGAGAAGAAATAGTTGGTGCGCAATTTATGATCACATTACCAGGCAGCAGCATATAACCATTTGCATAAAATTAAATACTCAGATTAGCTACGGATAGTCACAATTCACAGATTAATAAGCAGAAAATCAGTCTCGTGACCATCATAATGCACAATCTATCCACTGATCCAGATGCGCAGTTTGAGAAATTTGCTAACTGTGGTTTTGAACCCAAGAAAAGATATGTCTTATGGACATCGGAGTATCCTTTGTGGACCAAGGGATCTTGTCCAGGGCGCTGATCTTTGTCATGTGAGTGCACCTCTTTAATACCCAGGAAGCTTGTCTGGGAAGAAATGACGAAGCACTTGAATGCCATTTCCATCAACTGAAGATCTGGGCAAGAGGTGATGGATCAACTCTGTGCAGTTAAGAAGACCAACAAAAACTTCAACTACAAATGCCGTAAATCCCACCAGTAGAAGGCTACAGGACTTAGTTAGCAGATCTATAGAAACCTCTGGTGGAAATCTTTGTCTTTGAGAGTCTGACCTCAGTGGAAATGAATATATCTTCCATGAATCTGGTAAGTGTTTCCCTCCCAATTGATTTTGGCTCCACATATTAACTGATATAAAACATAGCCCGTGATATTACCTTTCATTACCTGCTTTATATACAACAATATTTGCTTTTCGATACCTACATATAAATAATACATAATACATACCACTTCTATGGTACCTACATTACTTTTTCTCTCCACAGATAAACCAATGTACCAGCGATTATACACAACTGTCATCAATATTCCTGGCAGCAGCACAGATACAGAGCTACCTGCACCTCAACAAGTTAGTGAATAACTAGATATAACCAAAGCTCACCAACCCACACAGGGTGTACAATGTCCATTGTTGACCATTGGAGAAGTCCACAGGCATCCTTGACCTTATAAACTCAAATTGGACACAGGAAAGAATGAAGGCTGGTAGATTTTCTTTAAAAGTGAGTGTGTTGGACCACCTAAAGGATACCATCAATGTCATGGTTACTAGGCACACTATGATAGACACAAATCTGGGAGAAATACAGAAATAATAGTAACACTTGCATTTGATATAGCACCTTAGCACATTGTTGAGACATCTCAAAGCACTTCACAAAATATACTGTAAAGTGAATTGACTGTGTATAAACATAACTTAGGAAAGAATCTTAACATATATAATGTGCAAAATCCATTGTAGTTCAATGAATAATAGCTAGCATGAGCCAGGGGAGCGA